CACACACACACACACACACACACACACACACACTGCTGCTACGCGCTTATATGACCTTATGCAGTTGAGCTCGCCTTAAAACCCTATACTAAACAAACACTGCTGCTTTAATGAACTGGTGAAAGCAGAGTCGAATGGACGTCTTGCGGATCTTCTTAATGGGTCACTTCTATTTGGACCAATTCCAAGTCTGTGAGATAAGACAATGACAGATGGATAGACGAATGCATAATATATATAATTCTATGAAAGGAAATATTGGTTGTATAGGATAAACATAATTATGAAAGACATAATGGATGCTGGCGTTGTGAAGCTGTACAGAAATGGATGTAAGATCTATGTATGAATAAAGGGATACTAGATGGGCGAAGGCAGGTATGTGTGCGCAATGGGTTGAAGGATACGATCTAGGTGAATAGAAATTGACAAACGGATCGATAGATGGATTCACAGAGGGAAATGAATGAATGGATGTTCAGATAGATGGAAGGAAGAATGCATGCAAGGATGAAAGCAAGGATAGGTGAAGGAATGGATAGGTTGAAAGACAGGGTGATTGATGGAAAACAGAATGGAAGAATGTGGAATTATGGATATACAGAAGGGCGTCTGGTGAGATATATGAAGGTGGGTTAGTTGAGTACTTGGCGCATACAAAATGTTGTAATGTTAACAGAAGTGGCAGTCGTTATAATAATCCGTTTATTCTAGTTTTTTATTTGTTGCCTCTGTTTGTTTGCCTATTTGTATCGTATTCTCCCTGTCTTGACACTTAATCAACGCACACATATATTATGCTGTCTCAATACATAACGTGATAATATTATGCTGCTCTGTGTCTTTCTGCCTCTTTGTTTTCTGTCTGTCTGTCTGTCTGTCCGTCTGTCTGTCTGTCTGTCTGTCTGTCTGTCTGTCTGTCTGTCGGTCTGTCTGTCTGTCTGTCGGTCTGTCTGTCTGTCTGTCTGTCTGTCTGTCTGTCTGTCTGTCTGTGTATGTGTCTCTCGGTCTCTCTCTCCTCCTCGCCTCTTCTTTGCCACTCGATCACTGGATGCTGAAACTATTTAAGAACAGTTGCAATTATTCGAAAAATGATACTCTGATCATCAATGTTTCCCATTTTGGTATAGTAATCTATGTTTAATTTTTATTTTCAGGATCAAAATGTGCACAGACGTAACACACGAGGACTTAATGACTATCCACCATGAGATGGGTCACATCCAATACTATCTGCAATATCAAAACCAATCCGTTCTTTTTAGGACAGGGGCAAATCCAGGTAAAAATACTTCATATTTATTTTTCTCAACACCAGACTACGCTTAGACATGATTTATTTTGCTCTTATCTATTTGTGGATTATAGCGTTTCATGGGGCATAATCGATAAAATACCCCAACAAACTTGAAATAAGTCGAAAAGACACTGACAATGGAATTATCAGGTTTAAGTCTTGAGATTTACTTTCTTATCTAACCTTCAAGTTTGGGATTACAAAGAACCCAGGCGCTCATATTATGACCGCATGCAGTTGCGAGCGCCGTAAAACCCTGTACAATAAAATAAAAATATACAAAGAACCAAGTAAAGACGTGTGAGCTACAATTGTTTTGGTAGGCAGATTGCTAAGACGGTGTTGTGGATATGATTTGACAACTCAGTTTTAATAAAGACAAAATCTTACAAGACAAGTACCTTTAGATCAGTACCTGTCAACTTTCCAATAGCCATCGCTTTAGTTTTGCTGTGTCTCTAGGCCTACTGCAGTCTCCTCAAGGAGGTTATAAATAGAACGTTTTATTCTAAGGTCCTCAAAGCTTTCTGGAAGGTCGGGAATATTTCTGAGGTTTCAAGGGCCTTCTTGGGTATTCATCATCATCATTATTATTTATTATTATTATTATCATCGTCGTCATCATCATCATCATCATCATCATCATCATCATCATCATCATCATCATCATC